TTTCTACTTTGTTAAGCTACTCTGACGCAATATAGTCTTGCAATCCAATATCGCAGGGAAACAGTTCGACGAAAAAATAACAAGAACAGTTGCGATCAAATACAATGACACGCTTGTTTCAATATTGTAGCGTAGCAACATTCACATTCGTAGGCAAGAATTTTTATCTTGGTTCCACGAAATTGTAGGATAGTCCTTTGTATGGGTCTGTTCTCGCAGCCCTTTTTTTTCATGGCTATCTAACTATCTATAGTAGAAAGAAATTTTTTTCAACTCGCTCAATCGTTATGTAGAACCGTCCTTGAATATTTATCTTCTCCCTCAGGAAATTCAGTATCTTCAAATGTCTTATTACAACATTCAAATATTTTAACGAAAAAATAACAAAATATATGATTGAAACTTCTCAAAATATTTTTGTTAATAATATTTTCTATTATAAATAAACTTTTCTCAGTTTCTATATTATTTTTGTACGATACATTTTATTGTATATTAATAATAATTGTATAATAATTTTATGTTATATTGATTCAACTTATATTGATTCAAATATTACAGATTATGATTTCTAATGAATTTCATAATTATATAATTATATATTATATATTAATAAATATATAATTATACAATATTTTTTTATTTAGTTTTGTAAATCTGTATGTAATTTTTTTTTCATAAAAAAATCTTGTTGCAATTTCAACAACTTTCACTGATTCAAAATTTTAATTATTTTCTAGATTCCTAATTATTATAAATATTTTATGTCTTTGAAAATAGTTAATTTTTTATACAAAGTATTTATTTGGATATGTTTACACATAAAATGGCGCAATATTTCATTTTCTATTACAAATAAGTTATTAAATTTATAATAGGTATATAGCAATAATAATTTCTTTTCATTATTCTTTTGTCTTTTGTTTTTTCATTTGCATTTATGCATATATAAAAAGTACAATTTTTCTAATTATATGTTTTACTTTGTTTTAATTATGTATATATGTTCAATTTTCTGAATGACTGTACTCTTACGAAATGTGTAATTAAGAACACATTTCGTTTTAATCTTCCTCTGTATTATAACTGTCGAAAAGAATTCTACGTTTAAGTTGCAGGAAGTATGTGTAAGGGACTATACTTAGGGGAGTTTCGTTACGACATAGCTTTTTGTAGATATATAACTACACCACACAATGTTGCGCCAGCCGGCTGTTATATTGTGAGCAAAGGGCTTTGGGTAGAAGTATACCCTACCATCATTTTCTACATTTTCGAGCGCGGTTGCCACAGGCAAGTAGACGCTACAACCGACAGACTGTGTTGGAAGAAAATATTACCACGCTTTCAAATTTTAATCTTATATGAATCTTTCCGTAGAATTCGTTTCCTCCAATTAGTTTCTACTATATTTTACAAAGAGTACTATCTATCATCACTGTCATGTTGAACAGTAAAAATTAAAAAATATATTTCAAATATCAATTTAAAAAAAAATTAGTTTTCGTACAATTTCAAATTTGAATGTTTATTTGAATGTTGAATTTTTTTTTTTCGTAAGATTTAATATTTTGTATTTTTTGTACATTGTAATGTATTTTTCTCTTTAAAAGTTTCATTAATAAATTTTTATCAAAATTTGAATATCAGAAAAAGATAATATAAACTTTTATTTATTTATAACATGATTTTTCAATATTATTAATTAAATGAATTTTGTATATTATTATATTTAGAATAATTAATTTTTGATTTTTTATATTTCAATGAAATTATAGAAAATAAAAAATAAATTTAAAATATTATTTTGTTTTAATTTTTTTTATTAAGTAACTTATGAAAACTTACTTTATTTTATCTCAATATAAACTATTTTAAAATAATGTTTTAGTTTAGTTTAGTAGACGCTTCCAAATGAAATAACAATTTTAAATGTTAAATATTTTATTTGAATCACATATTTTTCCATATATTTGAATTATAAAAAATAAAACTGAAATATTCTACAATATGTTAATATTTTTTTTCCAAATTATTTTCATTTTACTAATTTTTTTAATAAAAAGCTAATATAATTGAAAGACTATGAATGATATTTATACTACAGTTAACATAATAAGATTAAAAATTATTTATAAATTTATTTTAGGAAATTAAAAATAAAATATATGCAAATTAAAAATAAAATAAAAAACTATTTTCTTTTATAATAAAATAATAAAGAAATGATTCAATTTTTCAATTTATTTTAGATAAATATATATCAAATAGAATATTATTTTAATGATCATTTTTCAAGTATTTTATTTAAAAAATAATTTTATTCATTAATGTTTAAATGATCTGTTTAACAATTTTATAATACATTTATATGATATATTAAAAGTTTTTGAAAATATCTTAAATTATGTATAAAATGTAATGTAAATTATCATTAGGAAAAGAAAATTCATAGGTATAAAATAATTCATCGTGTCGGATCCTTTTGTAACGAAATAAAAAGGAGATAACATCACATATGGTGATCTGTGTCTTAACCTGTGAGACCCACTCCTTTCCCGCCAGAAATTCTGGCGCCAACGTTTTGACGCTACTTTCGGATTTGTCCAGGTCGGTCGGAATCCGCTTGGTTGCTAGGCAGGGAAATTCGAATGGCACAGCTGTGAGTCGTGAATAACATTTGGCTGAAACTTGTGCGATGTTTTGTGTTGCAGTTGAAGTGGGGAAAAGGATATTCGCCTGATAACCTTCGATTTTGTCTCGCATACTCGATTGCTTAAATTTTCTCACGCATTTTCTGCTGTGCTAATTAGCAATGCACGACAGATGCTTGCTAGCTCGCTTCGACAACGTTGTTTGTTGTTCGTGACGCTATGCTGAATTCTGAACGCATGCAATCCATGCGTCTGTTTATCGTGAATGGCTTCTTGTCTTTAGAAATTTCATTGATCATCTGTTTATTTCTTAAATTTCATTGATTATTTGTTTATTTCTTCGTTTGATCTTAGAATTTTTCGAAAAATTTAATTTTAATATTATAAATTTTGTTACATATAATAAAAATATAATATATATTTTCATAAGTATCATATTTATGCAAATAAATTATGATTATGATCTTTTGTTAATAAAAAAGAATAATTAATTTTACTTATTAAATTTTTATTTAATTATTTAATATCATTTAACGTTTTTCAATTAAATGAGGTTATATTATTATTTGATATATTTGTCGTTTTATTTGAACATAAATTAATTATTAATTAATTAAGTTATCTTATATTTAATTGTTTGCAAAAATGTATACGTAAATCTTATTGTAATCTTCATGGAATACTTTTTTCGCTTTGCGATATTGCAATAAGTTATTCTGATATGAATAAAAAGTATAGTATTTGACATAACTAATGCGATTCATTATTTATTTCCGTTATTTACCTCAAAAAGACTACAAGATATCAGTTTTGTTTTTTTCTCTAATTTATATTTTTGATAATTAAGTAAATAGGAAATGCCAGTTGTTATCGAAAAGTAGATAATAAGAAGAGACATTTCAGATAATATAGGAGCAACACTAATGGATTTTTTTCACACATAAGATTTATTTTAATTTTTTGTTCTTATTATATATATATGTTAGTTTGATAAGAGAAAAATATATTTTTTTATGCATCATGATATAAAACTGTTTTTCTTCAAATAATGTAAAATTTATTTGTATCGCAGTAGGTAAAGCAGTATGTTTTGTTATCAATCTATATTATTTTTTAATATTAATTAAATAAAAATTAGGAATTTGTATTTGTAAATGTGTAATTTGTAAAATTTCAAAGTCATGTAATATTGAAATTATTTAATTAGAGCTATTAATAAAAGTTAATATCAATTGAATTTTCAAAATTTAAATTTTTTTCAATTCGATTTATTGTATTTTTCATATTGAGAATATTTCTCATTTTTGATAGTTTTTATATTTGTTATAGATTTGATATAGATTTGATTTTTGGAACATTTAAACATTTTAAAAATAATTTAATTTAAAATTAAACTTCAAAAAATAATATGTTCTTTTTATTATTTTTTTATTTTATTAGAAAGATTTTTAAAATGAAAAATTACAGTGATTTGTTATAAATTTGATATAGATTTGATTTTTGGAACATCTAAACATTTTAAAAATAATTTAATTTAAAATTAAACTTCAAAAAATAATATGTTCTTTTTATTAGAAAGATTTTTAAAATGAAAAATTACAGTGATAAATTAATGTATTTTAATTATATTAGGAAATTTTTTAATTTTATTTTTGTGTGAAAAAAAAATACAGAAATTTCGCTAGTACTGTTTCATTATTTTACCGACTATAGTGTCGATAAAAAACAAATCTACTATTTCCACGAATAATTTGAATGTTACCATCCATAACAAATTTTATTTTTTTATAAATTTTACAGAAAAAATTTTGGTAATATAAAAATTTTAAACAATTCATATATTCATATATGATTTGATTTTCAACAACAACAATTCATATATTCATATAATTCATATATAATTTAAATTAATAAAGATTATGAATTTAATGATATATCAATTTTATATTATTAAAAAATTCAATAGAAATAAAAAATTTACATATACAAAAGATAAATTTATGATAATATTATATCATAATAATCAATAAGAATATTTTTAAAGAAATTATGTGTTTTATATTTCATTATTATATATTTTTTATGTTTTATCAAATCAGACAGAGAAGATTTAACATTATTATTTCTTATAATATGAATAATAAAAAATAAATACAATATCTTTTTCTAACATAATAAACATGTCATTTTAATATTAAGTTTCATAGTTTTTTCGGAAAAATAAATAAATAATAAAATATTTTTTTATAGAATATTAAATATAATAACACGTATATAAGAAATAATGATTAAATGTAATAAATTTATATGTTTTAATTATATTTTTTATTCAATTTTTGTTAACAGGCTAGTCGTACACTCGCTCCTTGGGAACATTTGTTACCGTGCCCAAAGTGTTCGTTTCCTTGTCACGTGGACGGCGAGAAGAACGTAGGAACGTGTTCAAGACAAGGTTGTTCGATGGAATTTTGCACCTCCTGTTCATCAAGACCACATACTGGTCCTTGCAAGACACCCCTGTTAGCAACGCCGACGAAGAGGAATAAACGGCTGGTCATTGGCTCGAAACAGAGCAAACGGAATCTCAGGAGATTATAAACATTTTCGTTATTATATGTCGAGAATTTTTGTTTTAATCTTATCATTTTTCTCGATAAAATAATTTTTCTCGATAATAATCTTCAAAAATGGAGAAAATGTCGAGAATTGTAAGAAATATAATTTCGGGATTATTTTAATTGTTATGATACGCAGTGTTTTGGAAGTGTAAAATGGACATCGTTAATTTAAATGGTTCGACAATAAAATGGATTTTTAAATCTGTATGTTATAAAACTTTAAAAAAGAACTATAAAGAAAAAAAAATATTTTAATCTAATATAGTTTTAAATATATTTCATAAATGACCATTACATTTTTACAAATAATCATTTTCATTTGTAAATTATGATTTATAAATGAAACTGACGATTATTGATAATTTTAAAATTAAGCTGTTAAAGTTTATCGATTTCGAACCATTTACGATGTGCGTTTAATCAGATAAGTATATGGAGGAGAGAGGTATCTTTTAGAGGAGGAAAAAACTCTCAGCACTAGTTACTTTTTTTATTTAAAAAAAAAAAATCGAAATTTAAAAACTTTTCAGATACGTCTTTTTATTAATTTCATGGTGAATTATTGGAAGGTTTATAAAATTTTAAGAAACTATTATTTGTTCAAATTTTTTAGAGTTCATAAATTTCAAACTTAACAAATTAAACATCATTTTTTTAAGAATCATAAATTCGCAATGTGATTGAATGTTACCTTTCATACGATCAAAAGAATTTTTACGTGGCTCTTAAATTAATTGAATCGGTAGTGAAACATTTCAACGTTTCTCTCAATATTTTGTTCGGCAAATCGAGATGAAGAGAAAGGGGCCGAAAATTGTCGATTAAGAAGACAAGAAATGCAGAAAGAGAGAAAAAGAGAAAATATGAGAAAGAATATGAGAACCAAGTCGTAAAACTTTTAAGGGCATAGGCCGACACTTTGCGTTGACCACTTTTTACCCAGTCAAACCCACCGTGTTTCACGACCTAATGAAGCTAGCAGAGAGGTTAGTTAAAAACAAAGTTGTGTCTTTTTGACCGACTAGTCTTCTTTGTTACGCGAACACTCTCTTATAAAATGATAACCGTTGACGGGGGTGTTATTTACGATGTGATATATCTCAAGCTTCTAATTTTTCTTTGATTAAGTCTTGGTTAATTGGTGCGTTTTCTGTCCACTAATTTCTGAGTTGTGAGATTTCAAGTCGACAACTTACAATGCAATTGAATCGCGGTAAAAACATCGACTGAAATAGATCGTCGAAAGAAGAATGAACGATCATTGAATTTTAATGAAATGAAACGTTAAGTGTCGGCAGAATTTTAACGTTCGTAAAAAGGAAATTTATATTTGATCGTGTCTTATTTTTAAAGATATATCAATTCAATGAAGGCCAAATTGCTTTTTTTAATTTTAATTTTTTGACCAAGTTTTTCAATAATTTTAATTTTAATATATTATTAATGCGGAAAATGCATTCCCTATTTTAATCTCTTAATTTTGATTAAGTTATTTCAGTCTGTCTCTCATTTTATTTTATTAATATCACGAAATTTATTTGACAATAATATGAAATAAATTTAAAATGTTCAAATGTAATTATTCTTTCAAAAAAAAAAATATCTATTTTTATTTATTGGAAATTTTCTGCTCATGATTGAATTTTTAATATGAGTTTTATTCATTGGAAATTAGTGACCACGTGTGAGCAAAATGTACCTCGTGCAATTTAAATATCGTCTTTTGTTCGTTGAATCGTAATTTCGATACATTTCTTTTTCTCTCTTATTGGTTATTCCCCTCTTAAGGTGTGACCCTCTCTCCAAAGGGAACAAAGAAAATTTGTTTCACGTGTGTACGTATTGCTCCTAGTCTCATAAACTGCGAGATCAAAAAGAGGATTGCCATGACTCGTAGAAAGGGTCGCTCAAAAAGTATTATTGAAGTATGTCTAGCTCTATAGTAAGATAAAAGTTGTGTAAGTATGAATGGAAAGAGGAAATGTACAGTACTAGAAACTAGAGAATGTGAGTCAAGTATCGGGAGATAAAAAAGGGTAGTAATGACAAAAACTTTTTCAATGAGAACATTTCTTATCAAGAATGTAATCATCCTTTTTTTTATATAATAATCGAGTTCAATATGGATGATCGACAAAGATTTGCTAATATTTAAACGAAACTTAAAGTATTATTTTGATATTATTGATATTGATATTCAATTTTTCCAAAATTACTATTATTAAATTTAACAATAGAATCTCAGGTTATATTTCTTTCATGAATAAAGTTTCTGTCATATTACACCCAAGGTTTCAACATTTGAACCGGTACAAAAACGAGAATACACTTTTGTGCCATTTGTAATTTACGCCATAAGAATTGCCATAATGTATCTTGTTTTTTTAATTAATTTTTATGCAAAAGAAAAGACAGAGAGACGTGTCACATTATAAGGATAAAATCAAAGGTAAATGCTTCTCTCTTTTTTTTCATATCTTAAGAGCCATACTTTATTTTTTACGTTGTTCTAGTGTACTAGTATGCCACGTCGATTTCGTACGTTCGTTTTAAAGTTTGAATGTCCACTTTCTTTTATTTATAATTAGTTTTTTTCCGTTTCTTTTTCGTTTGAATGTTATTTTTGTACCGGTGTATGCTGGACCGCAAAAGACTGCATGTAAATAACCAGCGTATAGTAATATATTCGTGTTCGGTTAAATTTCGTGATTGATATTCATAATTTCATTTTTAATTGATCTTTTCAAACAATGAAATGAAAATTTCTTTTGTTTTCTGCGAAACCATGACATATATATTGGTAAAATATTTTCTTCATTTTATTCACTTTATATACAATGAAAAAGAAATATAAAAATAATAAAGAAAATATTTTATTAAGAAATTGATACTTATATAAATAAAGAATTTGTTTAATTGTAATAAGATATCTTATTTTTCATTGTATGAACATTTAGAAATTTTAATCAAATAAAATTATAACTTTCATTATTAGTAAAGTGTTTAAATATCGATTACGAAATTTATATTTTGTAAAGAAAAAAAAAAAAAAAATGTTATTAATATGTCTCTCTAAGCGAAAATCCAAATAATTTCTATGAAATGTCGTGAAAAGATCTGTGTTTCGTTAATTTCACATGTTCAATTAATATTTCATTACTTTGTGTATGTAAATGCTCTCTATTTATTGCAAAAGTATATATAAAAATATATATAAAATCTTATGCCGTGAATTTAAAAAATTCGTGGTGTGCCAAAATTATAGCTCTTTATTTTAATTATTAGAATGTAGTGAATTTATTTAAAATTTTATTGATATTTAATAATAAACTAAAATTAAAATTTTGCATTCTTTTTCTTTACTAATTAAATTAATTCTAATAATTTTGGATTATAGAATAAAGTTTATATTATTTTATTTTCAAAATAAATAAGTATTTTAAATTCATTAATTATTGTCATAATTTAAAAAAGATTTTATAATTTTATATTTTTATTAGATAATTAAGCATTTTAAATTTAGAATTATATGATATTTGCAAAAGTTTATATTTGTATTTACTTTCATTTTTCTATCTTATTTTTTTAATAAAACGATGATTATTTTATAGAAGAAATTAATACAACATATTCAAGAGATCAAATATTTTATTAAAAAAATATAAGAAATCAAATATTCACATTCTATTAAAAAAAGCAGATTTGATAGCTTTGTTTAATATATGCTGAATTTTTTATTTTTCTTATAATTACTTAATGAAATATTTTTATTTATATATAATTTCATATAAATTTGTGAAGAGATTCCTTTTGAACATGTTGAATCAATTTAAAACATTCTTTATAGAATAGTTTTAAAAGAACAAAAAATTTCTCAAAATTTTAAATTTTTATAAAAAAAATTTTACGATGTATTATCATAATATTTAGTATATAAAAGCTCATATATATGTAAATATATATTTATCTTTTAATATAAATATATAAATTTTTGTATTTTAATTACAATAATTAATTTTATATAGAATATATTAAAATAAGCTCACATTAACAGTTAAAAAAAAGAATATAAAAATTAAATTATATTAATAAATTAAGCCAACCGAATAGGTTGATTTATAATGAAAAAAATAAAATTATTTTGCCTTTGTTATGTATATATAAATTAAAAAATTATTCAGTAAAAGAGTTCATTATTTTTTTAAACATTTTTCTAATAATTCACGGCATAAGTTTTTTTTTAAATCATTTCTAAATTATTTATCATTTAATATACAAGAAATAAATTATTTCTTCAGTTACTTAATATAATTTTGCATGAATAATTTTTTGTTAAACCTATCCACAATTTCTTTTGTTCAAAATTAGTTAAAATGAAACATCATTGAAGAACGTGGATACAACAGACACACGCGACATTTCTGTGATATGGGACAATATCATTCCAGTGTATGTAATTTTTACTCTAATGATCAATAATACACACGCTCAAAGACTTAATCAAAAAAATCGAATGCATTGTATGTATATATTGTATATATTGTTCATAAATATTTGTAGGTGAACTGATGGAAATTCGATTTTTACAATTATATAGTATTTTGTGTACTGTCGCCTCGAAAACGGTAAAAATATAACAATGAACGATATGGTAATACGAAATAAGAGTTCAGTGCGTTTTAAGATCAAGCTAGAAGGATGCCAAAATTTTTTCAAACGAGGCTGCAGCATTATTTTTTTATGTATACCAGAGAACTATTTAAAATTTGTAACATACCTGAAATTGAAGTTGTATACTCTCGGCAGGATCTCAATAGCTCAAAAGTAATCTGTATAAAATGGTGGCCTTCAATACTGTGCAAATATGTGTCCGAGATGTATAATTGAATTAAGATTAGTGATTAATGATTTAATCATTCTTTATTGTTAATATAAGAAGAAAAAAAAAATGTGCCTTATATTGAAATTGCTTTGAAAATAGATTTTACGATATTCTTTTTATATTAACTTATATACTTGTTATTTTGTATTAATAATGATGATTGTTATGATATGAATTTAATCATCAATAAAATGATAATTAAATTGTTCAATTGCTAATCTTAATTTAATACTATAAATATATATTACTTTTTGGAGGATTGATGCGAATAAAAATGCGAAGTTTCGCATTGAATGAAATAAAAATATGCAAAGAAAATTTAATGAAATAAAAATATATTTTTTAAAATAATCGAAATTTGAAATTGTAAAAAAAATCGGAAAAATGAATTGCATTAATTTAAGTGATTTTGATAAACGGAACATATTAAGAAAGTAAATTGATCATCCTTCAAAAAGTCAAACATTTGCTCTCTTATTTATCAATTTATGTTATTATAGACATTTGCAAAAGGAATATATGAAATATTTTTTTATAAACGGGTGTATTTTTAGGTCCGTTCCGTTGAATGTTTAAACGTTACCAAGATCCAAAATATGTAAAGTGCCAACATAATATTATAATTTTTCGTTATATCGTAACATGAAAAATAAAAGAGATTTTTTTTGGTATTCTTTTAATATCTCAATCTAAAGATAATAGTATAATGAAATAAATAATAATAAATTGTTAAAAAAAATTTTATATTTTACAATAGATATTTATATTTTACAATATATATTTATTATAAAAATTTAAATTTTGAAAATAATAATATAATAATTTATATATAACAAAATAAATGATCGATGCAATTAATAAGAATATTTGATAGAAAAAATTTCAAAAATTTAAAAATTAATTTTATGCTTATAATAAAACAAAATAAAAAAAAATTTGTTTTAATGCAATTATTTTTTGTTATATTTATTGTATAACTATGTAAATAACAATTTGAAATATAAATGAGTAAAATATTTTATGCAAAAGAAATATGATGTGATTATTTCAAAATTCAATTCTTTTTATTTTTTACAAATATCTCTTTTATTATTTCTGGCGAATTACACAGTTTCATCTGTGAATTTCAATACTCAGGAAATACTTTGACAATAACTACACTCGTTTTAGAATAAGCTACTTATTTTTAATAAGAATAAGCTACTACTTTTAAAGTAAAGTATTTTTAACGAAAAATAAAACCTTAGCGTCTAGAGGGACGGTACCAAATAAAAGAGCATTGTTAATGCAATAAGTTAAGAGGTTTATGTTTCCTTAGCGAATATATTGTCTTAGTAAGTAATTTACGTATTTTTTTTTATTTCCTATAATTATTGTTTCTCGAGAATAAATTAATTCGAGAATGCTCAATATTTTTTTCTTTTTTCTTTTTTTGTATTATTATAGTTCTGAATATGTTGAATAAGTTAAATTATATTCGGTATTGTTTGATTAGAAGATTATTAGTATACTCGGGTTGTCTTGATAAAATTTTGTAAGCCCATTCAGGGCAGGTTCCTGTATCATTTTGTCAATTGAAATATAATTAATTAATTATTTATCAATGTCTTTATCTTTTCTGGTTTTTAAACATTTTATTTTAATTTCAAATATCAAAATTCTAAATTTTTCTTTTCTCCTTTCCAATATATCCTTTAAAATTCTAGATTTAAGCAGAATTTTTAATTTGAAAACATCTCTTAAGAATATAAAGAAAGAAATTTGAGCTATATTGTATTATAAGAAAACAAAAACTATAACATGATCGATATTTATCAAATTTCATTTTACATGATATTAATCTGTATTTGATATTACAAGATATGTAGAATTATATGTATTAATATATATTTATGGAATCCTTTGGAAGATTGATTTAAAACAATTAAAAAAATTGGTACAAAAATTTTGATTAAGATTTATTTTAGTCATAAGAGTTATAAAAAATTTAATTTGTGAAATAGAAGTGAGATAAAGTGAGAGATAGAGTTGTTTCACTTTATCTCAATTTCACTTCATTTAATGCTGCGTTCGCTAGTTAAAATTGTTTGCAAACTATTGTGCACGAACTATTTGCAATCTATTCGCGAACAATGAAAATATTATACACTAAAACTTGCAATAGTTTCAATAAATGTAAATGTAATGTTATCATACTTATACATATGTATATATACATATGTTATATATATATATATATATATATATAAACAAAATTATCATAAAATGTAAATATTGTTTATATATATATATATAAATAAAATTATCATAAAATGTAAATATTTTTTTTAGATATTGTAACTTAAAAATATAAAATAAGTAATTTTATATAGGAATAAAATAAATTATTTTTAAATCATTTTTTATAAAATAAACAATATTCTTTTTTTTAAAATAAGAACTATTGTTTAATTATTTTTTCCAATATTCTAATTAAATAATGCTAGAAACTAAGTGCTAATAGCTTCAGCACAATCATTTGTAAAATCAATTAAAACATAAGCATTAGTTTTATAATTCAATTCAATTTCATTTCTTATAAATTGTTATGTCATTATATTTATATTTTATATTTTAAAATTTTAAATGAGAATAATTTAGAACATGCTTTAGTTTGAATACAAAATTTTTATATATATTTATTTACAATATTAACAAATTATATTTTAAATCATTAAAAATTTCCATAATAACCTAAAAATGATAGCAAGAAAAATTGCTAGAATTGCCACTATCCTATATTTTGATGGTTTCATTTTCATTGGTATCCCAGATATAGTTCCCTTTGGTAAAAATGGTTTTAATGCAGGAGATGTACCTTCTGTTATTGGTTCTCCCTTCATAGAATATTTTGTCGTTTCTACTATCTTCACTCTAATCATCTTTCCTAAATATTCCTCTTTTAACGGTATTAAAACTTGTTCATAAAATTTATTGTGTCCAACATAATGTTTTTTATCATAGGATATTTCAGTAACTAATACATCTTGGATGAGTTCTATTCTGTTATCATATGGAGAATAAGATTGAAAGAATTCTGACAATCTTTTCGTTCTTTTCTTCACATCTTGCGTTGGTATTTTTGGCATTCGAGCAGCCGGTGTACCCGGTCTAGGAAAAAATTGATTAATGAACAAACTAGGGAACTTATATTTTTCGCAAAGTTTCATCGTTTGTTCAAAATCTTTCTCTGTTTCAGTTGGGAAACCACAAATTATATCTGTTGCTATAGTTAATCCAGGAACACGTTCTCGCAGAAAATTGATAACTCGTTCGAAATCGGCACAAGTGTACTCTCGTTTCATATCAGCTAATACTTGATCGCTTCCAGATTGAACTGGAACATGAAGGAAGCTGTAAACTTTCGGGTGCTTTAAAATTTTGCTCATTTCTTCTAGATGCTCCAGAATATACGGTGGATTAGTCATTCCAATGCGAATTCTACAACCATTAGGTATCACTTCGATGAGTTTCCATAATAATTCAGGTAAACTCGAACCAATATCTCTGCCATAAGTTCCTGTATCCTCGGATGTTAACCATAATTCGCAAACGCCTTCCTCGAACGCCTGTTTTGCACGATCAACAATTTCCTCAGGAGGATAACTTCCCAATTCACCTCTTGCATGTTTTGTCTTACAATAAGTACACTGATTCAAACAGCCTGTGTTTATAGCTATGATCTCGATTAATGGATTCCTTCGAACTTTGGGTAAACTTAAAGAAGCACCGCCGATCTTTTTACCAGCTTCTTTTTTCTGTTGCAGAAACCGTACGGTATTTCCTTTTAAAGTTTCTTCGACTACTTCAACCACACGATCGATTTGTTGCACGCCAATCATACTTAATCCTTGTAGAAAAGATGATTTTGGAGCGCCTTGTGGTACACATCTGAAAATAATAATTATTTTTACTTGTTTTTTTGATTTTATGAATTAGATTTTTAAATTTTTGTTTACGAACAAATGATTAAGAAAAGAAATTAATGTAAAAAAATAAAGTGTAAAGTGAAAATGAAATTAAGTGTAAATAAATAAAGAAAAAAAAAACTTTTAATTTTATTTCTTAATAATATAATCTTAATAATATAATCTTATTTATTTATATAAATTAAATAAATTCAATACAATTATTTTTAAATAATTTTTAGATTATATAAATTTCTTTTTCGCTTTTCATTAATATTTTTATGCAAATGTTAATAAAATATTTAATTATTATTTCATAATTGAAATAAAAATTCTTTGTTAATTAATTTAATATTTCTTTTTAATAACTTCATTTAATATTTATTATTTTATTTTATTATTTTATTTTATTTTTTATTATTTTATCATTAAAGAGAGTTTATAATTTTGAATGAAATTGAAAAGCAATTGACATAGATTTGAAATTAAAGAATAAATCCAAAATATAAAATCTCAATTTCGAGAATTAAAAATAAAAAAAATAACTTGATTGTTTTAAATATTTCATTTAATTTTTGTGATAGAAAAAATTTAGATAAAAATTAAATGGTATAGATAGCATAATTTAATATTAATAATTTTGTTATACATAGCTATATAAAAATCTTTGTTTTTTAATTATATAATATCTTGAATGCATTAATTAATCATGAAGTTTTTTTTTATAATTTAAAATTAATTATTTTAATTATTAAATTAAAATAATTTTTATATGAATTTATTATTGTTTTAGATATTTTAATTTGAATATTAAAATTTTAATTTAAAATTTAAAATAAAATATATTGTATAAAAAATAAGAAAAATATACATAAACAAGTTATATATAATTTTGTTTTTTTTATATGATAAGTTTTTTAAAATTCGAATTAAAATATTTTCTAAATTAACAATTTTTTATAAAAAATAGATTATTTTTCTATAGAAAACAATACATTAATACGTTAATATTAAATATTTTTTATTTTTTAAAATGATTGATTTTATATTTTTTGTTTTGATTACTAAAAACATAAAAATGTTTTTGGCACAATAATAGTGTACTTTATTAAAATAAAAATATAATTACATATACCTATTTATTTTCATGACATCAATTTAATTATAATAATTTATATATAAAATAAATATTCTATACTAGATAAGTCAATAGTTTTAAAAATTTTGTTAGATAAAATGAACAAGATACAAAAAAAAAGAATTATTAAATTATTATTTAAATTAAATTAATAATTATTATTTTTCTTAATTGTTATTAAAAATTTAAGAATATTAAAATTATTATATTATAAATTATAAAGAATTTAGAATTTTTATGTGTAAATTTTAATTTTTTCAGAAAACAATATTAAAAATTGTGATTTTATATTATATAATATTATTTTTATTATTTTATTTTTTTTCTATTATTATATTGTGAAAAAATATTGTGAAATGAAGTTAAAACTTTTTCTATTTCATAAATTAAAAATTACAATGATAACAAATATTTTGAAATTATTAATATTCTGAATTGTGAAAAATTAAATATTAAATGTAATATATTAATATATGATTTAAACTTTTTTATCTAAATCTAATTTTTATAAGATGATGAAAGAAAATTATAATTTTAAGATATAAAAAAGTTTTCATACCCAGCAACAACAACATGTTTCCCCATTTTTTTTCCAGCTTCAATTTCATTTCTAAAATGATCCTCTGCTGGACTTTTTACTGTGCAAGAGTTTAAAAGCCATAAATCTGCTTTATATTTATTTTCTGTTAATTTATAACCATAGGCAGCAAGTTGGCCTGCCATGTATTCACTATCAGAATTATTATGAGTACATCCCCAAGTTTTCACATAAATTATTTGTGTTCCTGGTATAATACTATTGAAAATTGGAGGTTGTATTTCTTCAATTATTTGTTTTCGTTTAGAACGAATAATAATACTTTTTCTTGAACTATATCGTTCTTTAGGTGTAATATCTTGTGATAATATTAAATCTTCTATATCTTCAATAATATCTTTACACGGAGTTGACATTTTTCATAGAAACTAAGTTACATACGATATTTATAGGTTATAATGCACAGTAGTTTAATTTAATCTTAATAATTTTATTTGAATTTCATTTTTCATTTTAATAATAAAACAAAATAAATAAAAAAAAATAGAATAAACAAAAATATATTTAAGAAAAGTTTATTAAATATTTCGTAGGTTATGTTTTAAAATTTCAAGTTAACACGTGAAAATATAGTCATTCAATGTTGTTTCAATTCTATGGTTAAGATGCAAGAAAAATCTACTATACCGACACAAGAAATTACTAGATTTGTAGGCTATTCACAACAGTTATTTATTAGGCATATAAAAAAATATATATTAAATCTTGAAATAATTACATTGAATGGCATGGATGTATGATTATTTTTTTATTGTGTTTAATAATATAATATTTTTAGAACTGAATTGATTAATTTGTTTTTTAAAAATTACTATCTTATTTATTTATAATTTATGACTTATATAATTTAGAATTTTTTTATGATATAATTCTTGATTGATTTTCATATACATATGTAAAAAATATGAGATTAAATTTTATTTTTAAATACATTTTAGATTATTTTAAATATTTTTCTTTAAATTTTGATATGTAAAATCTAAAAATAATGATTTCAATTGTTAAAAATTATTGGTAAAAATTATTCAATTTCAATTTTCATAATAAAATCGCATAATCATATATATTACATTATCATTATTTTTAATGAAATAATTAAATTGTAATATCGGGATTGCAATGCGATATTCGTACCAGGCCTAATATTGTATATTAAGTTCTGCATCTTAATTTGCATCCAATCTGATTGGATAATGAAAACATTAACATATATTAAATTCAAATTAGTTTTCAGTTAAAAAATTTTATAGTTATGTATTTATAGTTTAAGTAAATGATTTTATTTTTCTTTGTTTATATGTAACTCATCTTATTTTTTCATATTTTGAGGTTATAATCTCATTTTACCACTTATCGTATTGATAATAATTATCCTAAATAATAAATTATTATTATTAATTGTATTAAGAAATTAATTATTTAATGAAATTATTATATTGAAAAGTGATTATAATTAAGCAAAATTTAAAATAAGAATTAAAATTAAAATATTTCTATAGGCAAATATTGTTTGAAGATACTACTTCATTTAATGTCATAAACAAGTATTATTTATTATTTACATGAATTTGATGTAAATAAAATATTTATTTTTTGTTTAATTAAAACAGAATAAATTTCGAAAATACTTTCATTTTTCATTCATAAATATGAAAATTTTATTCTATTTATATATGTTTTTATTTATGTTTTTATTTTTTATTCCTTAATTATTGAAAATAAATTTTTAATAATGTTACATTATATATGTTTATGTAATAATTTTATTCTATATATAATTTTATTCTATTATAATAATTTTGAAATTAAAAATTGTTTATTTGGAGTATTATTATTTGAAATATTATATTTTTATATATAATTTAATATATATTTCAATATAATATAATTCATTTCAAAATAATATTTTAGAAAGTTTATTTAAAATTATTAAAAAGTTATATAAATTTATTATAGTTATTTAATTTATTAGTTATATAAAGTTATATAAAATTATTAAAAAGTTTATATAAAAATTTGTATCATTCGAAAATATTTATTTTTATTTATCTGTTTCGAAAATCTATATTTCTCAGCCTTGAAAGTGACTTTGAGTCTAATTTCGCCTCTTTATTGGTCTAAATTTCGCTTTCCTATAACAGTTCTAATTCAGCCTGGGGACAAATGACAAAAAGTAATGAAACATGAAAAGAAAACGAAACTTTAGATAGAAGAAATACTAGTTATCGGATATAAAAGACTGCTTTCTATCTTCGTAACTGTAAAAGCTTGAAAAGATAAAAGCTCTAGATAGAATCGTTGAGTGAAAGAAATTATATATTCTCTATAGTAATACATAAGAATTCCTATAAAATTTGGCCATATTTTTTATGACATGTTCTTTTTGAGTGATTTAAAAGGAGAAAAATGGATAATATGTTATGATAATATATATTTCAAATGATGATGAATTACATTCAAATTTCAAATAAAAATATTATTTGTAAACTTTACTTTAATAAAAATGAAAAATAAAAAATTTTCTTATTATGAAATTAAAGAGAAAGGCAACATATTTTAATTGTTATTATTTTTATAAAAAATTGATAATAGAATTTTATAAGTTCATAATTCATAAGTTCATAAGTTCAATTTCATAAAATTCAAAGTAATTATATAAATTTTATCAGGCTATAATTAATTTTCAAAAAATCTTATAAAAAATTTAAACTTCTTACTCCTTCTTATTTTTGATATTGATAATGCGATTAAGTTAATTAAGAACAATTTTGTATAATACTTTTGTATAATACTACTTTTATATAATACTGAATTTTTGTGTAATAATTTATATATAATAATTATATATATAATAATTTTATATATAATTATATATATAATAATTTTGTATAATAATTTTTACTGAATATAATACTTTGATATTGATATAGAATTTATACTACTGATGGATTAAATTAATTGTCAATTTGAATAATAATTTTAATACAATTTTTGCTAAATAATTTTTAATAAACAAAAAGCGAAATAATACGATGATTTTTAATGATTTATTAACACAGAATTATAATAAGAAAATAAATATAAGAAGTTTATATAATATTAAAATTGTGCAAAGAGCATACTAAATTATCTTCATATTGACTGATGAGATGTATGGCAATGGCGACATCTATTAAAGAATGTATTAGGATGAGATTATTAGCGACGCCTACAAGGAATAATAGTTAATTGTTAATAATTTGTTTTTTTTCGATAAGTTTTCTATGCCAATTAAATACTAATAAAGCGTAAGAGAATTTAAAGAATAAAGAATTTTCTATTTCTTTTTTTTTTTCTCAATTAATCTGATCTGATATTAGTTTTTCACTAGCAATGCCAGCATTGCAACATAGTATTATAAAAACAAACAGTTATATATAAAAAAAACAATGACTATATTTTTGTTTTTATTGTCTTTACCATATTTTTTTCTTTCTATATTTATTAGATGTATAAAATTTTGAAACCATTGTTGTGTTTCTGATTTCTGACGTATTCTTATAATAATTCATGTATTTTCTACAATGACACAATTAGATTTCGAGAAAATAACAAATTTTATATTTTATTTTAAACGAATACATGAATACTTAAATATTCAAGAATTAATTGAATATTAACTAAAATTTCCTTCAAATATTTATATATATATATATAATAGAATAATTATATTTATATAGAATATATAAAATATATATATTATATAGAATAAATATTTATATAGAATTCTATTGTACAATTAAATAAATCTTTAAAAAATTTTTTTTAGTTTTTTGTTATCGTATTTAAAAATTATAAAATCTATAAAGTAAAAGAAGTATCATTAGATTCTTTTTATTATCAAGAAAATAGAAAAAACAATTAAAAATCCATTTATAAGAAACTAATCCATTTATAACATTAAAACTTATTTGTGTTATAAGGTAGTTGTAGTAAATTGTTAAAATTAAAAAAAGTAACAAAATGAACTATTCTATTAGTTTATATTATAGATTTTTTTGTGCTTGAACCATATTTTGTCCTATATAAATAGACTTTTAAAGTTTAAAATATACAAGAATATTAATTTCACTTTTCGATATTGATTAATAATCAATATTTATTTTATTAATTGATCAATATTTTTTTCATTTTAAATCTTTACATATAATTTCGAACGTAATTTCGAATATCATTATATTTGTGAATAATTATTGATCTATATTAATATTTATTGATTAATTATTATTGATATATTTTGAAATGTCAATTGAGAACTCATTCACTTTAATTTTTTTAAAAATTGTTATTTTTCTAAAAACCATTTAAAATTTTTATTTTCTTAATTTCTTTATTTTACGTTCTGTTGTATCGTATCTGCAAGTATAATAAAATAATTATTTAATAAATCGAGCTTCTTTTTAATCATTAAATTTCGAAAAATTCTTTGCATGATATATTTGAATGTCACTATTTGCTATTATAAAAAGCAAATGACTTTTTGACTATTATCTAAAAAGAAATAAGATGTGCATTTCTTATGCTTATAGAAAATCTATCCTAATAGCTTTTTCGATAACTATGAAAATCATTATTTATCTTTTTTGAAAATTCATTTTTGAATAGGATGAAATAGAAGAATAAAAATAAAATATTTTCTAATGATGAGAAAATTTTTAAGAAAAAATTTGTAAAAAATTAATATAATATAATTTTTTAAATTAGACTTAGCGTATAAAAGTTAATTTCTATAACATTAATTTTTATAGAAGAACATAGAATTAATATTTTGATTTTTTTTTTATTATTTATTAAACATTTTTTATTTTTTAAATTTTTATTTCTTACTTTATTACTTTATTACTTTATTATATTAATTAAATGTAATATTTCTTTTACATTTAATTTTAATTTAATTTTTTTTTAATTATAAATTTATTAATATTATAAAAATGATAAGTTTTTTTATCTATTGCTTTTATCTATATATTAAAGATTATATATAAATAATTTTATAAATAATTAAAATAATTAATAATTAGAAAGAAAAAAAATTGATGTTTAAAATATTTAAATTAAATTAATGTTTTTGTATAATTAATTATTATCAGCATTCTTTCTTTCATTATCAATAATAATTATCAACCAATAATTAGCAACAATTTAATGTAGGTAATATGGATTAGGAATATATATAAAAATATAGATTAAATATAAAAATTTTTATATATAATATAAAAATATATGCAATTGTTTTTTCTTTATAAAAAAAATCCATTTAAATTATAAGTATTTAATTTAAGATTTATAATTAAAAAGAGTTTATTCTATTGAAATTATTTAATAATTTAAGAATATATGTAAAATAAAAAAAGATTTTATTTCAATAAAATTAAATATTATTGAGTTTAATTTATTATCATATTTCAAAAAAAATGAATAAAGAAAAACTTTGATTCCGCAAATAATTTGAAACTTAATATTTGATCA